GGATTCAAACAAAATTCAATTATATTCTAGTCTTATAACTTATCCAGTATAACTTATTGGAGAATAAGCTTATACACAGGTGATGTCTCGTAAAATATACTGGATTCTATCAAAACTCAATTATATTCTAGTCTTAGAAATTATCCAGTATAACATACTGGAGAATAAGCTTACACACATGAGATGTCCCGTAAAATATACTGGATTAAAACAAAACTCAATTATATTCTTGTCTTAGAACTTATTCAGTTTAACATACTGGAGAATAAGCTTACACACAGGTGACGTCCCGTAAAATATTCTGGATTCAAACAAAACTCAATTATATTCTAGTGTTAGAACTTATCCAGTATAACATATTGGAGGAAAAGCTTACACACACGTGATGTCCCGTAAAATATACTGGATTCAAACAAAACTCAATTATATTATAACATAATATCTACATTAACGAAACATACTTCAAGTAAATTATAATGCTTTTTTATGAGATTTCCAGTATAATAAGCTGGAAAAATCTTCGCTTTAGATATTAATTTAGAAACGTCCAACAAATTATACTGGCGCTATGTTCTACATTGAGAAAATTAGACAATAACACAGATTAAAGCATTAAAAATAAATCAAAAATTCAAAAAATTAAATTTTTTTACTGATACTTTGAATTTTATGGTTTGAATTCTTGATCGTAAAAGAAATTTAAATAATCAGACAAATTTTAGATAGAACTTACTTCGATTTGCAGATTGACGACGGAAATTTTGCTAAAACTTCGATTTGCAGATTGACGCAGAACGATTTTGCTAACACTTCGACTTGCAAATTAACGCCGGAAGATTTTGCGAATACCTCGATTAACGCCGAAAGATTTTGCTAATATTTCGATTTACAGATTGACGGCGAAATTTTTCCTAATAACTCGATTTGAAAATTAATGCCGGAAGATTTTGTTAAGTTTTGCTAAAAGAAGAATTTAAGGTGAAGTCGTGTAAATTAATAAAAAAAGCAGGGGTATTTTAGTCAACAAAATATTACCGCACTAACTTAGTGGCTAAATATCGTTGACCGGTGATTATGTGGCTACATTTGATTGACCAGACGAAAAACTGACCATTTTTGGATTTTTCGCGAAATTTGGAGCTGTACTAGTGTTTATGTACAAGTCAGCATAACTAACATTTATGCATGGACTGATAAACATATGTTCTAATATATAACACACAAACCATAAATTTAGTTTAATACAAGATTTTTGAAGAAAGACAACCGCACTAAATACATGTGATAACTAGAAATTCCTCGTTATAAAGTGTCTGAATTTTTTCATAAAAAATAGTAACAAGATTCAGGCAGAGTTTAGTTATATCTATCTTATCCACTATATATAAAATTAAACTTTATCCAACACCATTATACAGGATAAAGCAATGTTTAAATTGTAGTCATTGTCCCATTTTGATAAGTTCGCCACGAAAATATATGGGATTTGTGACAGGTTTATTAACGAATTTATCAATATGGACAAAATCTGTGAAGGATATGCGACGATTTTATTCTTTCGTTACTTTAAATTTATTGGACTATAGAAGAGAATGAGAGGGAAAAAAGGAAAAACTTATTAAATTATATAAGAAAAAGTATCTATAAAAATAAAGTAAATATAAATGTTAAAATGTTATTATTGTCTTGGTATTTTTTTTGGTTTAATACTAGCCAAATGTTACTTATATTTTAAAAAATTTACACTTAACTAAAGAATACACATTATTTTCAAAACGGAATCCATTCCCTATGAAAAATGGAAATGAAGGAAGCCGAGCTTGAAATACTTCAAAGTGTGGGGGTGTTTAGCTAAGGTACAAGTTCCTAAACCTAAAAGGGTTAAGATATGTCCAAAAACGGTTGATTGTGTATTTATTGGATATGTAACCAATAGCAAGGCATATCGTTTTCTGGTTCATAAGTCAGAAAATCCTGAGATTCACGTTAATACCATAATAGAATTAGATAATGCTGAATTCTTTGAAACTATTTATCCGTATAAAAAGGAAAGTGAAGTGACCTACCAAAAGTCAAAACGACCTCGGGAGGAAATAACAGATGGTATGCCTAATGAGGAAAATCCGAGAAGAAGTAAACGTCAACGGACATCTACTTCATTCGGTCCAAATTTTCTGACTTTCCTGCTAGAAAATGAGCCTCGTACCTTCAAGGAAGCAATGTCTTCCTCAGAAGCACAATATTGGAAAGAAGCTGTCAATAGTGAAATAGAATCCATATTGAACCTAGGAATTGGTTGATCTTCCTCCAGGTAACAAAACATTGGGTTCTAAATGGATTTTCAAGAAGAAAAAAGACGATGGTACTATTGACAAATATAAGGCAAGACTTGTTGTCAAAGGATTTAAACAGCGAGAAGGTCTTGACTATTTTGACACATACTCGCCGGTAACAAGAATTACATCCATTCGGATGCTAATAGCGTTAGCCGCCTTGTATGGTCTTCAAATCCATCAAATGGATGTAAAAACAGCCTTCTTAAATGGAGATCTAGAGGAAGAAATTTACATGAACCAACCCGAAGGGTTTGTGGTTCCGGGAAAAGAAAAGAAGGTGTGTCGACTTGTTAAGTCCCTTTATGGACTAAAACAAGCACCCAAGCAATGGCATGCGAAATTTGACCAAACAATGTTGTCAAATGGCTTTAAGATTAATGAATGTGATAAATGTGTTTACATTAAGAACGTTCCAAATCATATAGTCATTGTTTGCTTATATGTTGATGATATGCTAATAATGAGCAAAGACATTGCCGACATTCAAGCTACTAAGCGTATGCTTGCTAGTAAGTTTGATATGAAAGACTTTGGAGTTGCCGATGTAATTCTAGGAATTAAAATCCAGAGGACTCCTCAGGGTCTAGCTTTGTCTCAATCACATTACGTGAAAATGGTACTTGAAAAATTCAAACACTTGGAGTTTAGAAGTGCAAGAACTCCAATTGACTTAAATCATCATCTTATAAAGAATAAAGGTGAAAGTACGTCTCAATTGGAGTATGCTCGTGTGTTGGGAAGCTTAATGTACATCATGAACTGTACACGACCTGATATAGCTTGTGCAATAAGTAAACTTAGTCGATTCACAAGTAATCCAAACAAACATCACTGGGTGGCAATGAAACGAGTTCTGGGATATTTGGAATATACCCAAGACTACGCTTTGCACTACAATAAACATCCTGCGGTTATCGAAGGATGTAGTGATGCAAATTGGATAACCGGCTCAACGGAAACAAAGTCCACAAGTGGATATATTTTTACTGTTGGTGGAGGAGCAGTATCTTGAAAGTCTTCCAAACAAACGTGCATCGCTCGCTCTACAATGGAATCAGAGTTTATAGCTTTAGATAAAGCCGGTGAAGAAGCTGAATGGCTTCGAAATTTTTAGAAGACATTCCGTTCTGGCCAAAACCTTTGGCTCCTATTTGCATACATTGCGATAGTGAGGCTGCAATAGGACGGGCAGGGAGCGTTATGTATAACGGAAAGTCTCGTCATATACGACGAAGACATAACACCGTTAGATAACTACTTTCTAGTGGCATTATCACTATTGATTATGTAAGATCAAAGGATAATGTGGCGGATCCGCTTACAAAAGGCTTAACTAGAGAGGGAGTTGAGAAATCATCTAAGGGAATGGGACTATGGTTGAGGACAAGTCAACATGGCGGTAACTCTACCTAGAATTTTGGATATTCCGAGATCTAGGTTCAAGGAGCTCAAACAAAGTTGTGATTGATCGGTTCAACATTGTCAAAGTAAAATCTTTGGTCCCTTCTCGTGATGAAGACAATGTTCAGTAACAAGGATAGAACTTTACACGTTCTTTAATGATTACCTAAGTTTGATGTGATAGTTATCAAATAGTGTCAATTTAAAGGATTACACGTTTAGGAATCACCTATGTAAGTGTGAAGTGGAAGCCGCTTCAATGAGAATTCTGTAAGGCCAATTCTCTACGCACTTATGAAACCAGGCGGTGTTCATGGCTGAAACGAACACAACAATGAGAACCAAAAGACGGTTAAGGGTTGGTTGTGTGACATATGGTTGTCTAGGTATACACTAAAGTTCGACAGTTCAAAGATATCAAATCTACCGATTGACCGAGTATATCCGACATATGTTCACTACGGAAAGTTCAAAGGGAAACCTACTTATCCAGATGCAATTAATCCTTACTTGCAAATCACACAGCTTTCATCTATGATCATTCTTGTTACAGTCATTCCCATTCATGTGGGGGATTGTTGGGCTTTAAGCATTGGGCTATAAAAGTCTAAGAGTGTGAATTGGAAATGGTGGGAAATAAAATGGAGGGAAATGAAAATTTTGAATGAAGTGAGCTTTTGACTTGCACTTTGTCCCTCATGGTGAGGGACAACTACATTTGTGTGCTCATATATATAGAATCACTTCTTAAGGCTCTTAAAAGGAGTTGAAGACAATGAACCCTCGCGCCGTCGTCGTCGCTCGCTCGGCTCGGCTTCGGCTTCGGCTTCGGCTTTGGATTTGGATTTAGATTTGGATTTGTCAAATGATCGATAAGATTATTTTTGGACAAAATTTATTTAATTAATTATTTAATAATTAATTAAATGCCAGATCACTGCTGAAAGTCTGGCCGCGGTCCTGGCGTAACCGCGGTAGGACCGCGCCAGAACACTGCTGCAGATTCATCTGGCCGCGGTCCTGGCGTAACCACGGCAGGACGCGTAAACTTCTGAACAGACACCTTTTCCAGAACAAACATCACACCTCTTCCAATAATTGCCTATAAATTCTGAGGCATGACTTCGTTTTTTGATCATCAAAAACATTACAGAACTTCCTTCATTCTGAAAATACTGCATTCTAATTCGCAGTCTCTCTCAAATTCGTAAGTGTGATTTTGCTCCGTTCTTTGAGTTCGTTGGTATCCTGCAGTTTGTATTGCCACTATTGCAGGAAGGTTTATTCCGTTTCATCCTGGGAGGATTTAATCCATTACCTTGGCAACGTGCGAGGGGGTTAAAATTACTTAAGGACACACAAGCAAATTGTGGACTCAGAATATTTCTTATTCTTTACTGTTTTCCAGTTTCTTTTATTCTTCGAACAGTTTTCTGATTTTGTGTTTTAACACAGTTGCGCTTCACATGTTTAACTTGTAGTCTGTCCCATTTTGATAAGTTCGCCACGAAAATACACGGGATTTGTGACGGTTTATTAACGAATTTATCTATATGGACAAAATCTGTGAAGGATATGCGATGTTTTATTCTTCTGTTACTTTGAATTTATGATATATTATTAAAGAGAATGACGGGGAAAAAACAAGAAACTTATTAAATTATATAAGAAAGTATCTATAAAAATAAAAATATATCTTATTGTTTTGGTATCTTTTTTTTTTTTTTGGTTTAATACTACCCAAATGTTACTTATATTTTAAAAAATTTACACTCAACTAAAGAATACACATTATTTTCATTGAATTTTGAGTCAAAATACATACTCCTATTATTTTGATACACGTCATTTCTGTAGGGAACCTAAAACAGAAATAGATTCGGTACACCATAGTTGCGCTAGTACATCACCATAGAGCACAAAAATGTCGCTTTCCCGGCAGCTCCTCCGCAAAACCCTAAAACCCTATCTCCGATCCATTTCCACCGCCGCTGATTCCACATCCACCGCCGTACAGTCCCACCACAACCACCACCAGCGCAACCATGAGTTTCTTCCGCCGAGCAACTATCTGAATTCATGGACAACACCTAAGGATCCTAAGGAGGCGGAGGCTAAACTCGCGCTTTTACGCCGCGAATATGCGAAAAAGGTGAAGGAGGTTCGAAAAGAGTACATACAAGAAATGGAACTTCAGAGGATTGAGAAGATGAGAAAAGCTGAAGCTAAAAAGGAGGCTCAGAGGATTGCTAACGAGGAGCGTAAAGCTGCTAAGGCCGCTGAGAAAAAAGCAAAGGCAATGGAAAGAGAGGCTGCTGAAGAGGAGTTCCGCAAAACCCTGGTATGTGATTAATATTTTTTTTAATTTTTAATTCTTTTCGTTTTTACAAAGTTTGCAAAAACTTGTTACTCCCAAACGCACACGCAACTATACGTGGCCGACAAGTAATATAGGATTGTAAGTCCAGAGATCGCACCCACGTGGACTTGTGATTAACTATCAACTAAATTAAACCAAAACAATTAATCTATTCAAGCGAATCCTAACGTATGAATATTTAACTAAAACTAATAGTATAAAGTAACAAACTAAGAAACAAAAGAAACAAATTGGCGAATTATAGAGACGAATTCAATGTGAGTGAATATTCTAGAGTTATGGGTTATAGCTAACAATCCCGTTGAGTTTTCCACTTAAATTTTCTAATTAATTTATCTGGTTTATTGGTTAACATGGTTAATATTGCTCGTAGCCTTCTCCCGAAGTACAACTCGCCTATTCAAGCTAATCTAACGTCTATATTCCTATGGAATTAGAATTAACAAGAACACATTAAAAATTCTTGTATAGTAACCAAGCAAGGCGATTATGTATATTCCTATCCTAACCGCAAATCCGCCCCTCTCAGAGTTAAGATCTTGCTCTACTCAATCTTATATGCAATCTAGAATTCCCTCTCCCGAGTTCAATCCTAGATTCGTAGATAGTATTCAATTGGTGATCAAGCAATCAAATAATTAAGCGCAAGATTGAATAAGTAAACCAATATGATAAAATAATAAGAACAATTCAAGCTTCAAACTACAACGTTCATGTAGCACCCAAAACTCTAGAACTAATAAACTATGAAATTAAAGGAAGAGAAGAAAAACTATTTAGAAGCCTACTCCAAGCGCGGTGTGTGTTCCTCCATGTGAATTCCCCTCCAAAATAGTCTCCCTAGGTTTAAGATGTGTCAAAAGTCCTCCAAATAGTGTTTTTACATGTATTTATTCCAAGTAGGGTCGGACCCAAACGAGAACACCTTTTCCCGCGCGAAATAGGACAATCACTCTGCAAATTTTGCACAGTTGCGCGTCACGCTACGTCACACAGTGCGGCGCAGTAGTGGGAAACTTCAGAGAGCTGTTTTCTGATGCCTTTTGGAAAATTGCACAGGTGCGGTGCACGCTGCGGCGCGGTAGTGGGAATTCGCAAAAATGGAAAACACGAAAGTTGTAGCCCTTTCGAATAACTTTCCAACGGTATATTATGGAGCCCAAACGGAGTTCTGAGCGAAAAGTTATGAGTATTTTACTAGACAATGCGTCGTATGCCCGCTCGATTCTCCGTTTCGTTCTTTAACTATCATCCATTGATCCCGAACATAATCCCGGCTTGATTCCTTGGGCTTTTACTCAGACTTCAAAGCTCCAAATTACTTGAATTCATTCCATAATATCTACATAGCTTGGAATCTCTCCTTTTCTTTGAAAACACATATTTAGTGCAAAACACTAGCGATTAAAGTTTAAACTCAATTAAAGTACAGTAAATTAGAGTGTAATAAGCGACTAAAATACACAATCATAACCTATCATCGCTTGTATATGCTTAATTTTTCTTTTTAATATTGTTCTTTGAAACAATGTCATTTCTCGATTTGCCTAATAGCTACAGTTTTAAATCGCATTATGCAATACAATAATGATTTATTAGTCATTTTTTTAACATCTAGATACTACTTTTCCTTGTTTAATATTAATATTGATTAATATTATTTCTTAAATTTTTAATTCAGTTTTTGTTGTTTGCAAAGTTAGGATATTACTTGTAGATGCTGATTTGATTGAGTTTGAGTTTTATAAACTGACTGTGTAAAAAATATTTACACAATTAGTTTGTACGCTGCTAAAAATGATAACTAAACTGCTATCACCCGCTAAACTTGACTAAGAATGTAAAAATTATCTTTACAATGTCAGTGTGTATAACTTAAATTCTACTTGTATATGCTGAATTGAGTTTAAGTACTATACAATGACGGTATAAAAAGTACTTGCATAATCAACTCACTTAAAAAATAATTGCAGGTAAATTTATTTAATTAGTATTTATGGGTAACCTAGAATAAATCGTAAGTAACCTATTATAAAGGTTAAAATTATACTGATGGTGTAAAAAATCATTAGACTGTCGGTACATAGAACTATGCTGGCTCACATGTCTCATCCTAATAACCGGTCAAACTTGGATATTCAATTGGTAAGCAACTACTAGTTCTCTTCCCATTAGCAGGTGGTTTTCAAATGTTTGATTTTTTTTTCTCTTATGTGTAGTTGGTTTATGTATAGCCCCTTTCACTTCTCTCTTACTTATGTTGTTTCTTGATAGACGTTCTAAAATAAATTGAGCATTACTAAGAGCTTGTTTAAGCTGACACTAAAGTATATGTCTGTTTGTTATTATTGTAGTATTAAATTTTATTCTTTGTTAAAATGATAAATCGTTGCAATATGTCTCATTTTATGAGGCGACGGGCCAATTTGCAAGCAACTCGACTAGTTTACTGGGTAATTGTCACCTTTCTAGTTTCTCCAACACAAGTATTAGGCACTGCGCCCATCAATGTTAAGGCGGATGGGGAGAATTCAACTAGTTTTGTTGATATTATGATTTAGAGATTCGTTCTCAAGGTATTATAGGTTCTGAATGGGGATTATGTGTTTCAAATTTATATCTAACTCTATCTATATTTGTTGGTCTCTCACTCTCTCCAACACACACATAGTTTGAGTCGAAAACTGTTGGTTCCGTACCGCACTTCGACCGGTAGGCCAATCCTCACAATATTACATGCCAAATGGGGATAAATAAATGTAAAGGGTTCATATAGCCGAACGAACTAGTAAGCATGGTAATGTTGAAGTGCACCAATAGCTTCTGTTTAATGAATTCTTTCCAAGCAGACTTTTCCACGAGAACAACATGTGATTTTTGCAACTACAGAGCTATCACTATAATAAATATGTGAATTGAAACAAAGAACAGACAAAATGAAGTCTCGAGAATGCTAGGACTGTAAGCACACTGCTTGATGAAATTCACCCATAGGCTCTTTTTACTGAATTAACAAAAGAGACTCTTCCCGAGATGATCAAAAACTCTTACAGTCCTGCCATCTCTCACTATATTTATTATATGGGTGGCTACTAATTACTGAAAGTAAATGTGCCTTGTCATCTGGCTTATCTTTTACTCCATATTTTACCTTGAACTAAGTGCATGATGAATAAATTTGAATATTTGAGGTCGTTTGTCATTTATCTTTATTTGACTTAACAGCGAGTTTGAATAGAGTGGATCATCATAATCTGTACTTCATTATGGCAATATATATTTTGCATCATTTGTTTGTCCTCGACTGTCTTGCATAGTTCCGCCTCTTCAAGACAGATCCATGCATGATGAGGCGTATGCCTTGGAGCGTTGTTTATTAAAACACTGCCCAAGTGAGGCCTCATGACTCTGAGTCATCTTTAAGGGCTTAAAGCGAGCATTTAACAACATTGTTAGTAATCTTATGTTCCCTACCACCTTTTTTCAGAGACGATACTTAAAATTCAATTAGCAGGTACAATTGTAAAGTAGGTTTAAGAGCGTAGTTTGCCATAGTGTTGAGTATGTCTGCACTGTATATAGCTTTGCTTGCATATATTCTCAATCAAGTATAAACTAACATTCCACTGCGTGTTTAATTATTATGTTTGCAGCTTAAAGAAAGACAGGAAAAACTTGAATATTGGAGGATGAGGGAAATGAAGTTCTCAGAGAAGAAGAAAGAGAAACGCGACCTTCTACGACGGCAAAGTTCTATATGGATTGATGAAAAAGATTTGGAGAAAAAGACACTTGAAGTTATTTGTGATGCTATTCAACTTTGAATTGTTTTCCTTCTCGAACGACTGTGATCGAAGTGTTGTGTTATCGGTTGGAGTTGATTTCAATAAATTCCAAAATGTAAACTTGATATCTCATTATCTAGCCTCTAGTTTGTAGTTCATCTACCACCCTTGCAGACTCGACCCCTTTCTCCTGGGAACAATTTTGAGAAAATTATCTGTTTTATTCGGTAACCAAATCTGGTAATTTTACAGTCAGACAGACTTGGGATGATTTGGAGTGAAAAGTGTATTTATCTCGCTCTAGTGCTTAATGCTTAAAAGTAAACTCAAGAGAGTGGGCTATCAAATGAGAGAATGGAAAATGACACTGTATAACCGCCGTAAAAGTAATAGCCGAAAAAATATATAAAATGTGTATTTTTTTGTGTATATATACATTCTGTATGTTATATTTAAAAATTATACAAATTTTATACACCTTTTCGGCTACCGGATGTAAATAGTTTCTGGTGCGGATTAAAAGTGATAATACCTCGAGAATGGAAAAATCCCGTTAATCTCTTTCGCTAAATGCTTCTACCAAATGACAATTGAAACATCAGCCCTTATATGTTACACTGACAAGAGTATGGTGTATGGATTCTTTCTTTTTATAGGGTTAGGTTGTTCAATATAGGCAACAACAAAAACTCAGTTTAATTCCACAAGTGAGGTCTTGGGAAGGTAGTGTGTACTCAGATCTTACGCCTAGGGTAGGGGTAGAGGGGTTGTTTCCGATAGACCCTCGGCACAAGAAGATGAGGTTGTACAATAGAAGCATAAAACAGAAACCTAAATATTTCTTTGACTACCATACATGCATTGCCAGATGAGCTTCGCAATCAAAAACAACCTTTCGCGCTTACATAATACAAAATAAACCATGTTAGAACAGTTGCCTAAAATGCAAAAGCAAAAACATTAGGAAAAGACTACTAGTTAGTCCATGTCAGTCTTCTGTTGGAGTATAAATATATGGTACACAGGGAATCCACTAATTTTACAGTCAAATTTGATCACTACCCAAACCAGTCAAAACTAGTTCAAACTTTCATTTACATTATATTCTGCAAAATGGAGAAGAGAAAGAATCACGAGTGCTGGCACTAGCTCCTTGGTGCCATTTAATCGCTGCATTTTTCTTACAGGATGTGGCACTAGCTCCTAGGCGCCATTTCGTGGCCGCATTTTTTCTTACAGGATGAGCTCGGAGTAATAACTTGTGCTACTGAGCTTTTGGTTTCTGGATCTTTACGTATGGAAAAAATCCGAGGAAGTGCTTGATTTTTGGATTCCATTCTCTTTGCTGAGCACGACAATACATCAAGAAAGTATTTGCGAAGTATGCATTAAAACCCATAAGGACATGCCACAGTGCATGACCCTGTGGATTAAAGTACCAGCGTGAAATGTCCTTGCAGAATAGACGATCACACAGCCAGCAAACAGCTCCGACTAATAAAGTGGCCACATAAAACTTTGCAATCTGCTTTGCAGATCTGTCTTCTGTGTGAATGTAATACTTATATGTGCGAGGAACGCAAAGAAGGCACAATAGTGCATAATGTAGCATGAAACCAATATCAAAGCGAATCTGTGAATGCGCAATGGCAAATAGTGCACCGTAAAGGAACAAAAACGTGGGCATTGTACTCTTGTAATGCCAATCTGGTGAATAAAGGATGTAAAAATAGAGAAGCATTTCCCAGACCATGGGTGTCTCATCACCTTGCTGTTGCCTATCAATTTAAAGCATGGATCATAATGCATTAGAATGACCATCAAATTCAAGACACATTACAAAGTATCATACAACATTCCGGATATATGATTTTCCATCCAATCTGTATGCACAAGGCACGGAATAGTTTTATTTAACAAGAAATTCAATATTAGACATCCACCATTCACACAACAATCAAGAGGGATACTATAAAAGGTCAACTTGATGTTCATAGTCAGCTTTATCTTGTTATGCAGCAAATTGACAACATGAGATTGTGGGCATTCGTTTATGCAAATATTTAATAGGGAAAAATACAAAACTGGATAGTCGGCTGAAACTAATTCATTCGCTAGCCGAAAAGTGTAAAAATATGTATTAATTTTTGTGTATAATACACATATATACAAAAAAATGCATTTTGTCGGTTATTATTTTTGGGAGCGGCTAAAAATATACATTTCTCTATTTAATATCCAATGGAGCTACACGGTTCCAGTGTTGAAAAGTAGCAATTTGGAGGTTAAGCAAATTGGAACTTTAGAGGAAAAGTTGTGGAGGGGATATTCTTTTCTAAGTTTTTCGGACATTATGCGAATAAAGATGTAGGAGACGTTTGACCCGAGAGTCCAATGTTAGGTTAAAAGTTCCCTTATTAATGTTTTGTACTTTTATTATAAAATAGAAACACCTATTTGAGTAGATAGGTAACTATATTTTTAAAGGTTTAATTTGTAAATTAAGACCATTTTGATGTAGCCTCTTTTCTTTGGGGATAAATCAATTAGCATCAATCAAAAAGTCGAACAATCCAGACATGGGGCCGAATGGGCAAGTTGAAGAGATATAAATTCCTTCCAAGACCAGATGCAACAAAAAGAAAAAGAGAAAAGCTCATCGTAATAATCTCCTATCAAGTTAACTTACCAAAAAGGACAATAAATGATCTTCTGTCAAAGGTTAAACCAGTTACTAGGAAGAAGCATGAGCTTCCCAAAAGTACTAAGGCCTAGTTTCTAGGCTTTCAACAATCCTGGCATTCCATTCGCTGCTTCAAAAGTTCACTGTAGTGAAAGAGACCGAAATACATTTCCATGCATTTAACATTTTATAGGCACTCATGTTAATAATATGGAACTATTAACTATAGGTCCTGACGTCAACAATATGTATTACCTTCTTCCTGCTATGGCAATGTGGGTAATACATAACGACAAACCAACCTTTTATAGATAAATGAAATGGGAAATAAGGGAGAAAGTGCTTACATCTGCCGCAACGTGGCATGATAAATCATGCTCCCTATGGCAAGTATTATATTTGACATATGAAGGACACTGAACCTTTTCTCAAACCGCTGTCTGAGGGCATTCACAAGACCAATCAACGCCAGAATAATACATGGGACATTTGAGATGGTATTAAAGAACTCTGCAATATAGGAGGAGCGGACATAATTTGGCTCACACCACTCTTTGGTAGATGTTACAGGACCCCAAAAGCTTGAAATGTCATCTGCCATTCTTCAAAATATGCATGTACCTGAAATGAAATAATCAGCTAGTAAGCAGTTGCAATATTTTTCAGATAAAACCCCAATTGCAATATTTTGGGTAACGATAATAGTTAAAGCATGTCTCATTGGTTACTGTCATATCAAGAAATCAAATTCTCAATACTCTCTACAGGACGAAGAGAATTCACAATACCAAATATAGAGAATATTGGGCATTCTGTTTGTGTGATTCAATTTTTCAACAACTAATATGTGCACAGAACAGTATCGGGCAAATCACTTAATAAAATAACAGAACAATGAGATCATGAACGGAGGGGATAAGAGTAAGAATTTTTAACACTGCGAAGTGTCACAAAATCTACTTGACACCACCAAAGCATTTGATATTTGATAATAGGTCGTTTATTAACTTTCAAATGTATCCAGTGTACTTACCTAATGCTTGGTCACCAGGTCTTTTTTTTTTAGCAAATCCACTAGGCGAGGTGCCTAGGGCTATTTTTATTAATAATAAAAAATAAAAAAAAACACATAGGAGGAGTACAAATAAGGGGGACAATAGCACCGGTAGTGTTGCCTCTATGCCTTGGCTATATAATCCCTCCTCTGCGCCTCACATTGCTTTATGATGGCAGCCTCATGTAGAGTGTAGCTGCCGGCAAAGTTTCACGAGGGCATATAATCTCATAGCCGTTTGGATATCTTCCCAAAGGCATAGGGCATGAGCAATCACATACTGGGCTAAACCTTACCTTACTAATCCTATTGAGGCATAAAATAGGATATCAAGACTTGTTTGCCACATACTTACTTGCTCTTCAAGTCTAATGCTCTATATAGGTGTATTGATCAATCAATCGATCAATCATATTACTTCTCTAAGAGATGTACATTATTTAAAAGAGAAACATATTTGCTCGCAAAGATCAGATGAGGTCACTTCTGCCTAGAATATTAGAGCATATTAGCTAAACCAAATATGTGAACAAGAAGGTTTTTCTGGTCCTCTCAAGTAAAATTACATACAAAAGGTTTATCCAGTTTTAATTTTACAAAATTTAATAAAAAGTCCATTCACCCCTTTCTTGTTCAAATCCAAAGGAGAAAGCAGACAATATGTACATATCTTGGATTCAAAGAGTAAACTTCATAGCAATCTAGCCTATGTCTATGACCAATCAAACCAAATGGCAGATGCAAGAGACTGGAAAACGGAATCATCAAACAGTTTTCTCACAATAGAGAAGCATGTAGTATCATCATTCTACAAGCTTAAACCAATTTAATTAATTACCACAGGAAAACCAGCCTAGCAGAGGCATTTCATATTATACTAGACATAGTTTATTGTTTCCTTTCAGAGCAGAACTTCTTATATTAAGCTTTCCTCTGAAGATTCTCAATCAAACTATCCCATTTTGGCATATTTTCTTATATCCATTTCTAAGAGCAGCCACCAAATTAATAAAGCCATTTTCGAGGACTAAAGATGCACAAACCCATGAATCACCACTAAAAATGCTTATAGTTATAGCAAACAATTTCCTTGATATCCTGCTAAAACAAAACCTTCCCAACCACAAATGTGCCGGGGGTACTTGATATGGGTGGAAAGAGCATATGAAGGGTTACTTTAAGGTGATCACAGTTCATACATCAACCGGGGAAAAATCATACATAATAAGTCTCCCTAATTTTATGCGCAAACAATAATTATGCCTCAATCCCAAGCAAGTTAGAGTTGGCGTATCACTAACGTTATGCATCGAGGTTTTGGCAACGCAAAAACACCATAAAACTCTATGGTTGCTCCCAACTCCATCTCGGCCAGCATCTTCCTCTGGGGGATAAGGGGTTTCTTTCCTTATCAAAGAGGGGCTCGTGGGGCTTAATTATTAAGTAAAAGAAATATCTTTTCACAACTACATTTCTATCTTAAAACAGACAACGAAATCTCAAAGAATTATATTCAGAGCATTTCCCAAACATT